TGTGAATTGTCCTGAGATTCCTGTTATTGTTATTGTTACTGTTCTGTCTGTCTCGCTTTCGCGCCAAAACTACAAAACCGATTTAAGTTAAATTTGGTACAAAGATAGTCTAGATCCTCAGAAACGACATGTAATAAAAAAAAAAGCGACGTAAGGGGTTGAAAGAGGACATGTAAGGTTGTATGGACCTAAAAGAAGCTTTATTTTAGATTATAAATTGGACAGCTATGATATGGCTCTGCTTAGTTTACTACTAGATATCCGTATAAACGAAATGATGTCAGATATGTGAAAAATAAAATTGTAGTATATATAGTCTTTGGTACAATCTATGTCTAATCTATAATCGTATAGTATAAATATAGTCTATGATGTTTGTAACGTACTCTGTGCAGGTGATAGAGGTTGTATTGAAAAATGACGGCAATGATCAAATTAAATGTAAACGCAAATTAGCTTTTTATTTAAATTAATATATAAATACAGTACAAAAATACATAAATATCAGCCTCGAATAGTTCGTAATTAAGATTAAAAGAAAAGTTAAGATTATTAACGTCAATATTTGCGATGCGTCGTCTTACTGTGATGTCCGAAGTATGAATATTATTATGTTATGTTTAAATTACTTATGTATTATTTTTCAACTGCGTGTAAGTTATGTGTTATTCGGATGTATAAGCTATATTATTGTTAAGTTTCATTAAAATTCGTTCAGTAGTTTTTGCATAAATGAGTAACATATATCCATCCAACCATCCACACTCACAATCTTCTCCCCTCCAATTGATCCCCCGTCCAATTCAAACGAAGATCGAAATTATGACGGCCTGTGTCGAGTTTCGGTTAACGGTGACCTCAGACTAAAGTCGTATCCGTAGGGCGGGAGTTGGCCTTCAGTTGCTGCATAAGTCCTTCTGCGGGTTTGGAGTGCCATCTGCACTCGCGTCCGGTTAAGCTGTAAAGGCCAGCTGCGGCCAACTGCATTAGAGTGGTAAAAAAAAAACATAAACTTCTGCGTTTCTATTATTAGTAATATTGATCTCTTGTGACACTTACATTAAGTTACTCTGCTTGATATGTGTGTATGTATGTTTTAATGACATTGCACAACTGTACATAACAACAGTTAAGTAGGTTAGGTACTTAATCTACTCTGTTATCAGCTGAGATAAAACAAATAAGAGTTTAATGACTCTGTTGTTCATTTACAAATAATTATTGTATGGAACATCTTACTAATCTATACATATAAATAAAATTGGAGTGTTTGTAATATTGAAATAACCGTTTTATACTACATGCATATGAATATAAATACGATTTATACACCAAAATAACATTTTTTACAATTTTTGTCTGTCTGCTTGTTCCGGCTAATCTCTGAAATGGAGTAACTTAGGCTACTTAGATACTTTTAGAAAAATAAAGTTAAATTCCACGCGGACGAAGTCGCGGGAACAGCTAGTAAACATATAAAATTATAAGCGTAGAAGTTTGTGAGCGTGGATGCATAGATGGATGCATGGATACTTGTATTATTAATATTATAACCGTGAAAGTTTGTGAGTGTGGATGCATGGATGCTTGTCTTACTAACGTGGAAGTTTGTAAGTATTGATGGATAGATGTTTGTTACTGAATAGATATACTGTCACGCTGAATAGATTTTGATGAAACTTTACAGTAATATAGCTTATACATTGGAATAACACATAGGCTATAAATTTCACGCGTGTGTAATCGCGGGCAGAGCACAGTCATACATGACGAGGAGCGATTTAGAGCGATTGACGACTATTTCCTGATCAATGGGGTAACTCGTAATCATCATCTCTTCGAATCGATCGATTTTTGATTTTTATAATAAGCACTTTCCGGGTTTATTGTTTAACGGCACAGAAACGAGTTATTTAGGTACTTATATATATTAGGTAGGAATATATACATAGAGAAGAGTAGTAATATAATTCAATTTATTAAATTTTATACGTTTACATAAAAGAAACATATGTATGTTACAAAGAATATTACGGCCTTGAGGTATAGTGGTTTAACACTGCGTCGCGTACATCCCCTCAGAATACAAACATTTGTTTTCAAACCTGTTTGTGTTAACATAAGTGTTTATATCCAAAAAATGTATTTAACTGTACCTAACAATTGTCTAGTTCATACAAAAAGTTACGCTCAATTTGATGCTAAAAGGTGTAGTGTAAAGCAAATTAAAAAAAAAATAAGAACAATAAAAACTTTTTAAACGACTTTGATTCTCTTTAGATTCCATGGAAAATATTAGAAAATAATGAAATAATGTTTACTAGAATAATTCTGACACAACTGAAATTATATTCATATAAAAAAAATCTTTTATGATCGTGTTTTTTTTTTTATTATGTTCGAGTTTATTTTTACAATAAAAAAAGGTAGTTAAGCACAAATAAAACATTCTAATCATATCAAGTCTGAGCTGGTAACCACTATGTCTTAGATAAAGTTATGTGTCAATTTAAAACAAAATCTTTATAGTCTAGGATATTGTTAGAATATTTCACAATAATACCTACTTTTCTTTATAATAAATTACTTATTTGATTATTAAAACATGAATGTTTTTTATATCTTCTAACATGACAAAATGGTAAACCATAGTCTATGGTTAATATTAAATTGTTGTCTATGGCTATATAGATCAAGCTAAAAACAAAATTAATGAGAAAATGGCGACGCAATTCTATCCACCTACATTAATTAAATATTTCACTTTATTATTTTTATTAAAACACATACATGATACCATATCATTCGATTTTCACTATTATTTAGAGTTCAGGAACATTATACGTACTTATGACATCTGTCACATGCGCTGTACACATGTGCAAAACCGAGGGGGTTTGCTAGTCAATAACTCTATAACATAGTTAATATAATAAATACAAAAGTCTGTCTGATCATTATCTTTATATCCACAACTAAATGACTGAACTTTTTGTTATGAAAATAAATGGTAACCCAAAAATATTTTTATTTTGTGTAGATTTAAAAAAATATATTTTATATTTGTATACCTGTCATTAATAGCATATAAGTAATTTACTGTATCATATACTGTCCTGTGCGCATACAGCTATCCTGGTTTTTAGCATACATATTTTAATGCCAGTCATTGTTGTTTTTAATAATAATAATAATATAAAAATAGGTATTTTATCTATTACTATACATCTACACATCTACTCATATAAATAAAATTGTAGTGTCCGTTTGTAATATTGAAATAACCGTTTTTTACTACATGCATATGAATATAAATATAAATACACCAAAATAACAATTTTTGTCTATTTGTCTGTCTGTTTGTTTGTTCCCGCTAATCTCGGAAATGGCTATACCGATTTTAACTTTTTGAGCAGGTATCTGATATAATAAGCAGTAACTTAGGCTACTTTTATTTTAGAAAAAATCTTTTATATTAGAAAAATAAAGTTAAATTCCACGCGGACGTAGTCGCGGATACAGCTAGTATATAATAAAAAGAAGTCGCGGGTAACTGCTAGTTCTCTATATAAAATGTTCATAGCCTAAGCAAACAAGAATAACAAACAACGGTGACGAATGTGTTACCCACATACTATTGTTTGAGAGCGCGATTTAAAAATGATTACTCAGACTATTTATTAAGTTCAAAAATACTTTTATTTCTTTTAGGTACATTTTTATTCACCACAGATAAGATAATATTAAATATTATTCATGTAGGTACACATATATTACCTATTTCACTAGCTCATTATATGTACATTACATTCATTATTATATGTACATAATAGTGCGTGTAAACAATTGTTTTTTTTCTGTGAGGAGAACAATAAAGAATTTTCATTGTATTTCATTTCATATGCATATTATTTTGTATTCAGATATTTTCCTTTTTTGTTCAGTTTAGGAAGTAGTTTCAATCGAGCAATCTGGCCAAATACTCAACTGTTGATTAAAACGTTTATTTTGTAAATAAAATTCTAAATTTTATTTCAGTAAGTTTAAGTATTACATAGATTATGTAATTTAAGAAAAAAATATATATTTTATGGTTAGAAGTCACTTAGGTATGTATTAAGATTACAATTTCACTCGACAACCATGACACCACGACAACTTGAATGAAACTTACACTCATAAGCAAGATTACTCTAAAAGTCACATAAAAAAAAAACAAAATAATTTATTAATCGAGTAATGAACTGTTATAAAATATCGAGTTCATTAGACTACCTATAACCCTATTGTAGATTTATATTCAATATTCAGTCTCCATTGTTATAATGTTGACAGAATTACATTATTTATGCCAAGTTTCATTAGAGTAGGTTAAAACTATTACAATATTTGGTTTATAAATAAGAAGGATCTGCTAACCAATTTAATTAATAACAGGAACTTGCAAATAACCAAATATATGTATTTCTACAGACACATTAAAAAATAACTTCTATGAAATAGGTTAGGGAACATTACTCTGTGTCTAAGAATTGTATGTTCAAATTCGAGAAGTTAAAATAAACAAAAAAATACTATTGACACCAGATAATGTAATAAAAAGTTATGTGTAGTAAAACATTTGATAACCAGTCTATGAGTGAACAATTAATCTATTTTCAACCTTTACTACATTATTTCTAGGATCAAATTTTAATGGACGCTAATAATTTAATAACAAAAGATTGATAAATCAAACTAGTCTGTAGCTTTCTCCTTTCTGGTTTTCGTTGTTATTCTATTATGAAAAGTGAAGCAGATCCCCCAATAGTTATTAACTCTCGTCGCGCATTCCTATTGGTGGGTGTAGTACAATATGCATGAACACATTCATTCGTGTTACAGCATACAACGCGTGTAATCTACGTAAGGTAATGATATTGTGGTTACAGCTGTAAGCCAGCCTACCTAGAATACGCAAGGACAATATAAAATAATAAAAAAAATATGTGAGTACTTACCAAAGCCACTAGATTTCGAAAACTTGACTGATCTTGCCACAGCCGTTCAATAAAACTCATTTTCGGTATAACAATATCAGGTAACGTAGATTTAACAAGAAATTCATCGGTCCCCACATTTGTACTGGTCGCATATTTCCTTTGCCATTTATTTCTTTTAAGTTCGCGCCAAAATATCCGCCGTGGTATTCCGTTCATTTTGCGCGCTGTTTTCGCTACGGTCGGCGAACTACTAACTAAGAAACTGCGGCATAACATGATTATTAGGTACACGCTTCTATTTATGAAATCATGCAGGAGATGATAAATTTTATTATTACTTACAGATCAATTTATTATCAAATCCAAAGTCCAAGTAATTTCTAGTGTTAAAATGCGAAAGTAAGTAAATATCTGTTCACTTATATAATTCTAGAGTGAATATTTTGTTAGAAATTATTAAATACTTCTAAATTAAACATTACAAATGTTGTCGAAAAATATATTTATATATCTTTTAAATTACGCAACTGATTTTAATGCAGTTTTCAGCAATAGATAGAGTGATTCAAGAGGAAGTTCTGTATTAATAATACATGCGTGTTTATAGTATAGAACAAGCCGGGAAAATAAAATTTTTGTAATGCAGCCGGGACGGGTTGAAGGTCGGCTTCATGTGAATATCGAGTACAGAGAAATAGGGAAAGTGCAAACAATTAATATTCATTGCATTTAGTTGCTCATTCATAAAATGTCATTCAAATTAAAAAAGAAACAGTAATAAGAAACCAATAAACCTAAATATTGTTTTTACAGATTAATCGTAGAACCAGTTTCACTGTATATTCATCTTTGTGTGTGACGCTATATGTTTTACTTTTATAGTTTTAAACATTTGGGCGCCATTTTTATAATTTGTCACTGACATTGACAGCTATTTTCGAGCCATTGACCGCCATCGCTTGTGCCCTTGGCCTTGAAATTTTATGTTATGATTTTGTTTTGCTCTTTTTGTAATGAATGAGAAAAATTCCTAATTTGAAATTTATTTTTCGTGTAAATTCCATTCGTTGTTTCTTCTAGTCAATCGTATTTATCTTTTAAATTACCTGTAAGTTCCCTTCGTTTTTAATCATTTCTAGTCTTGCCATTAATTCGTACAGTCCACCTTTAAGATTTTAATAAATTCCATGCAGATTCATATATAGCAATAGATACTGGAGAGAATCCAGTAAATATTACTACTAGCAGATTTTCTAATTCCTAAATGACTAGAAATTAATTATTTCATATAATATTTATGGCTAATAAATATTATATGAATTCAAAATTTTACTTTCTGCGCCACCTTCTACCTGCAACTATAATTTTATTTGTCTGTGATGTTTATATCATTATTTTCTACCCGTTTCCGAAACATAATGATTTAAATGATTGTTAATAATGTGGACTAATTACTCTATTGCTAGCAATATACCATCTCAGGTAGACCTCCACGCGGTTCACCCTGGAAACCATAATGGTAAATTGCCATATGGCAACTGACTGATTAACTAACCCGACTTCAGGCTCATCTTATCATCCACCAGTCCTATTGATCCGTTATCATCGATTAAAAAAATCTCCTCAGACTAACACTTACGTCTGTTTACTCCATAAAAAACATTGCAAGTACCAACGTATCGGAGGAATAGACTAGACTGCGGCAGGAATTAGTATTGAATATTGATACATATAAAAAAGTGGGACAAGGCCGTAATCATTGGACTAGCGTTTTGATTGTCCACTCAAAGCACTTTGTATAAACCGGCGGTCCCCCTGCCAGTTTATATAAGTACTACTCAAAACTGAGATTCATTTAGTACACTTGAATCAAAAATATATCTATTAAAAATCGTTTACAGCACATATCTGTATACATAAATAAATAAAATTGAAGTGTTTGTTTGTAATTGCAATTTAACAGCTTTTTATTAAATACCTAGAATAGAATAGAAAATCTTTTTTTCAAATAAAATTAATTTAAACACTTTTGAATCTCCTTTTAATCCACCGCTAATTCGGAAAGCTGTCTCCTCACAACAAGAATGAAGAAGAAACTTGCGTGTTATTCTTTTAAATAATCGTTGTAACTTTACATTTTTACAGTCGAAACGTGTGAATAGTGCATAAATAAAGTATTTTGTCTGTCTGTCTGTTCTTGCTAATCTCTGACACAACTGTCAATCGCACTGTAATGTGGTAAGAAATTACATAGGCTACTTTTATTTTAGAAATTTTATTTATTTCAATAAAAAAAATGCACGGGGACTAAGTCACGGGTAAAACTTAGTCTTTCATATGTTTTTGTCAAAGTTGCTAGTAAGGTCAATAAAAAAAAATACCCGGCGTTGGCGCCATCGAGGAGAGGCCGGTTATGCAGAATTAATTCTTTTAAAGCGAGTTTTGTAACTCGCTAGACTATAGTAAAATAAGTGCCCTCTATGTGGGTAATTCTGTCTCACCTATTTCTGAGTCAAAGCATATCACTTAATTGAATATCCAACAACTATAATCACATCTTTTTCTACATTTGCTCGTAAACTGGACATAATTTCACCGGTTTTCTATATATAAAGCAACTCATAAAACATTGCATGTGTGCATTACCCGCGAGTTTGACTGCGTTGAATTTTGAAGTTTTTTTTAATTAAATGAAATTTCTAAAATGCAAAAAAAAAACCTAAGTTACACCTCATAACACTTGCTATCTGCAATTGTAAGTTACATCAAAACCGGTCCAGCCATTTCAAAGATTAGGAAGCGTATGCATACGCAAAGGTTTTAAACTCGACTTCCTAAATATATTTCTGAGACAGTTGTCCACAGAAGTTAATTTTAGTGATTACTTGCTTGGTTTAAACCACCACAAATAATAAATTGTGTTTACTACTACTGTATCTACTGAATGTCCCCATATCGAAGATTAACGAGAATTATTATAAAAATAGAATAAAACTTATTTTTTACAAGAAAACATGTTTATCTGAAAAAAGTACGTAATTTCTGTTCAGCAAAACATGTATTCAGTTAAAGTAATGTTTTTTCGTTTCCAATGTGTTGTATTACAAATGTGAAACATACTCTTACATGACGTATTATGTTCAATAGTTAGATTTTTTGCTTTTTGTCTAAAGTACAAAAAAAAAACTAACATTACTGGCCGCAAATGTTGTATTCGAATAATTTTATATGTGTATGTTTCTGTTTAAAAAAAACTTTATTTTCTTTTACAATGCAATTTGACGGCTTTATAAACTTAAACTTAACTTATGTATAATTGATTAGTTTCTTAACGGGTACATATCTTGATAGATTTATTATTATGAACATCGTAAACTAAACGAAAAAAAAATCGTAAACATATTAATAATTCTTTTCTCCACAATGCAATGTTGAAATTTACTGAGTAACAGCCATTTCGCTACGAAAAAATATATCAGGCATTAAAAAATTGTGGAGAATTAGCTATTTTGTTGTTTTTTTATTTTTCTTCGTATACAGAATAGAGGCGCCGCGCCAATATGTACCTATAGGTACTAAGAAAAAAAAACAAAACATATTGCACACTGAATAATAAACAATAGTAAGAGTATATTAGTATGTTTATATATTTGTTTTTATATTCATATGCATGTAGTAAAAAACGGTTATTTTAATATTACAAACAGACACTCCGATTTTTTATACGTAGGTATAGATTAAATTGCACCGCCTTATTATCCTGATCAGCGTGACGGTCGACTGGTAGAGAATGCCATCAGGCATTAATACAATTTTGAGTGCAAAAGAATAAATAAATATGTTTTTTAATTTAATTAAATAAACTCAAAAATTACGTAATTTGAAAATCGACGTTAATCCTCAACCTTTAAAGCCGATTCTCTGCTAGCAGTATTTTTGTAAGTTCTTGTTTTATTTTATTCATTCTGAGTGCACGTATACTGGTTTAAGTGTAAATGTTAACGTAGAGATACAATCTCTTTATTTGTATCTAAGTATCAACAAAATCTGTGAGCCTATACACGTGATAGGATAAAACACAAACCTGTTTATTTCATTGTTTACAACTACAATTGTTTTGGTAAATATATATTCCCTAAACCTAGAATTCTGCAATCAAAATAATCTAACTAATAATATAACCGCGAAAGTTTGTGACTTAGTAGTGAGTATGGATGGATGTTTCTTACTCTTTCACGCAAAAACTACTGAACGGATTTTAATTAAACTTTATAATAACATAGCTTCAAATAAGAATAAGAAATAGAAATAATCTTTATTCAAATAAACTTAATATAAGCACTTTTGAATAGTCAGTTTTTTTTTATTCTACCGCTTATTCGGAATGCAGATCCATCACAAGAAGAATAAGCAAGAAACTTGTGTGTTGCTCTTTTAAATAAAGAATTTCACATAGGCTATAATTTAAAAAGATATTATGTGAATTAGGCGAAATATAAAGATAAATTTCAAGTAAGTGTGATGCAGACGAAGTTGCGCGGGTCAAGTAGTACATGCGCGAAAGTTTGTGAGTATGGGTGGATGAATGGATGTTTGTTACTGTTTCACGCAAAAACTTAACGAATTCTGATGAAACTTTACAGTAATATAGATAAATGTCAAGTAAGTGTGATGCAGACGAAGTTAGCGGGTCAGCTTGTAGTACATGCGCGGAAGTTTGTGAGTATGGGTGGATGAATGGATGTTTGTTACTGTTTCACGCAAAAACTTAACAAATTCTGATGAAACTTTACAGTAATATAGATAAATGTCAAGTAAGTGTGATGCAGACGAAGTTACGCGGGTCAGCTAGTAGTACATGCGCGGAAGTTTGTGAGTATGGGTGGATGAATGGATGTTTGTTACTGTTTCACGCAAAAACTTAACGGATTTTGATGAAACTTTACAGTAATATAGCTTATACATCAGAATAAGACATAGGCTATAAAATTTTCTGTATATAGTAACCATAACACAAGCTCAGCTTAGCTTGGGACTTGATGGCACATTATTATTATAATATTACAGTTGGGTCTGCAGATTCTTCAAAAGCCACAGGATCCAACTGCAAACTCTGCATAGATCAGACAGTTACCCAGTAGAATGCCTACTCATTCTCGACTTATACTTACGTTTTAACCTTTCGAGACATCTAGATAAACATTATGCTTATTTATCTAACAATTAATAAACATAAGTTACGTTCTAAACATGATTTTTTACGTGTTGCCACTTGGAGGCTGATTAAACCGTACCAAAGTACAATATTGATGTCATAGAAGCCCGTGATTCCCAAACTTTAACTGGGACATATCTCTACTAAAGCTAAAGAATTAAGAAATAAAAATTCGATAAAGATTATTTAAAAACAAATTATATTTAATATTAAACTTAGAATATTTGAATACTAGTTGCAACCCGCGGCCTTACCCACGTGACAATATCTAAGTTGTATATTAATTGTGCACCAAATTTCATCAAATCCGGTGACACTTTTAACTATTATGGAATAAACAACATCGAAACATCTTAACAAACTTTCACATATACATAATGATACAATATTAACAACAATGAGACATTTTAATTGAAATTCAATGAGATTTTCAGCAACAAATTTTTCACAATTTCACAAATTTAGGATTCAAGTAAATTAATACTAATTCTCGGTACTATACGACCGCGTAAATATTAATTATAAATGTCTACAATAAAAATATTTATATATTATCTAATCGAAATCGCTATACAATATTAATATTGTATTTGGGATCCGCAATGTTTTGGAACCACTGACCGAGGCAGGGCAGTCTAAATCGGTTTCCAGACCCTGATAATATTATAACAATTAAATTAGACTGATAACAACACTGTACATGTACACATACAATATAACAAGCAATCTATGACAGATTAACGCATTTTTTTTAAAATAATAATTATTATAATAAAATTTATGACAACAATAATATTCTTAACATTGTAATAAGGCTCGTTATTTATAATTTTTAATATAAAAACTAAAGTTTATAACTCTGTCATGTTTTTTATTTATATGTATTTTGTCTTGTGGTTTTATTTTTAAATAAAATCAACGTATAATAAAAGTTAATATCTCATGAGTAGCAAATTTTCAACAAATTAATTAAAAGATATCTATTTATTGATATCAAAACTAAAGTTATTTATTATTTTTTAAATAAAACCAAGCTCTTACCGGTTGTATAGAAAATTTACAAAGAAATTATAAATTGATAAAAATATACCTTCTATATAGTAAGTAAGATACAAAGTAAGATATTTAGATATTTCATTATTGATATCAAAACTATAGTTATGTTTATATTTTTAAGTAAAACCAAGGTATAATACAAGCTAATGCCCATTCAGTAGCGAATTTTCAAAACATTAGTTTAAATTTTCAGCAAATTAGTTATAAATATTGTTCAGAAAGTTATATGCAATCTATATACAAAATATAATTTTGGCCATCTTAAGGTTGCCTGGAACAGATCGCTTTTCAGCGATAAGGCCGCCTATTGTTAGCACTTTGTCTTATAATTTGTCAATCTTTATTTTATATTTTGTATTTGTTCATTTGGTGACGAAGAATAACATTTAACAAAACTTTAATGAACTTACTATATTTTCTTTTGTTTTAAATAAGTTTCAAAAATATAGTGTTACAATCCTTACTCCAAAACATATATACATCTGATTTATATTGTGTATAAAAATATTAACATATATACAAATATAATGGAATATAAAAGAACTGTAAACATTATAAAACACATTTTCAGTCTTAATACATTTCAATAAAGGCACGTATAAGAAATTAATACTTATATAATATGTATAAAGAGGATCTTATCGCGTTTGTAGTAAATTTACATACAAAACCATTTACCGCGCATATTTATATATGTATAATTATATTGAAATGCCATTCTATACAAATACAAAATTATTTTGACGACCCCTGTGGTCTAGCGGTTTAGTACACCGCCTTATTTCAGATTGCGAGTTCGATTCCTCGCGCGGTGCAATAATTTGTATTCATGACTGTTTGTAAAGGTCTGTGTATTTTCTATGTATATTATGTATGTATTTATAAAAAATATATATATTTATATCAGTTATCTAGTACCCTTAACACCAGCTCTGCTTAGCTTGGAACTAGATGGCGTTGTGTGAATTGTCCGGGGGTATGTAATTTATACTTAACAATACTTGGCCTTCAAAACTCGTTTCAAAATCTTACCACCCGGATTCTTGGGTATTTCGTCAATTATTTGCGCGTGTTTTATTTTTTTGTACGACGTGACTTTATTGTTAACATATTCTATCAGTTCTTCGGGTTTTAACTCTTGACCTGCGTGGGGTACTAGGAAGGCTTTGGGTGCTTCCCCCGTGTTGGGGTCTGGAACGCCCAAAACCGCACAGTCAGCTACTTTCGGATGCGTTCTGATGATCGTCTCCAATTCTGCTGGTGGCACTTGGTAGCCTTTGACCTAAAAGTGACAAAATATTCATGATATTTACTAATTTTCAAAGCTTTTATTAATAACTAGCTGTTCCCGCGACTTTGTCCACGTGGAATTTATCTTTATTTTTCTAAAATAAAACAATTTTTCTTAAATAAAAAGTAGCCTCTTACATCAGCTACCTGCCAAAAAAAAGTCCCGTCAAAATCGGTCCAGCCATTTCTGAGATTCGCCGGAACAAACAGACAGACAGAGAGACAGACAAAAATTGTAGAAAATGTTATTTTGGTGTATGTACCGTATTTATATTCATATGCACGTAGTAAAAAACAGTTATTTCAATATTACAAACAGACACTCCAATTTTATTTATATGTATAGAAGATGTACCTATAGATAATAATAATCTCAGTACAATTCACACAGTAGACTTGTACACCGTTCTATTATATATAGCACCACAATTTTTGTTGTCAACTCATAGATTTTTTATATACAGTTTACTTAATACGGCATAATATAAATATATAAGCTATCATTATACCTGCCTATTAAATAATAAATAAATAAAAGTAAAAAAGATAATATATATCTTATTGTAAATTTATAAAATATATATATAATAAAAAAATGTCTTGTAAAAATAACAGGCTTAGCTGCAATTACAGTAACGTTAATAGGCCACTATTGACATTTTATTAGATATATATATAATAAGATAAGTTTGCACTGGCGTGCATATGACGTTTTTCATTTGACGCCACTCGTCTTATTTTAATAGATATAATATCGTTTTGTTATACTAATGTTACAATGCCTCCCAGGAGGCCCGCCCTCCTGGGAGGGGACTTATATTTTATGTAAAGGTGAGTAAGGTGAAATTGGACGTCGTAACAACGAGACGGGCCTGTCCTAAACCATCTACAGGGGTGCCAACACCGCTGGAGTGGAGATCATGCTAACACAACCTCGCGACTCCGGAAATGGCGCTCGTAGGTACAAAGTCTGGTCTTTTAATGGGTAATAATCCCACACATCCCCTAGTCACCCCTCTGATCGAAGGGTTGAGGATTTTTTTCAACACGATAAAAAAAGAGGGAATCCTATAGTCTGTTTTTTATCTCAGAGACTAAGATCAAATTTTCAAATGTTACCAGCTACTGCGGAGTTACCAGCTATTCGATACCGATTTGTTGAATTAACACAATTCAACAAATCGGTATCGAATAGCTGGTCCTACAACAAATTATTTTAGACGGTTAGGTTTGTATAAATGTCACACTTTGTCTACCTTCCTTTACGTGTCATTTATGGATAACCCCTTTAACACACGTACATACCCTAACAATAAATTAGTAAAAACAAATTTCAGTCCCTACTTCTCCCTACATGAAGTACTGGGTTAGTAGTAAAGACGCAGTACAAGCCGAAATCAGTGTTGGTATTCATGAAATTGAACAAAATTTATACAAGAAGTGTAGTGGTAAATTGATTTTTAAAAGAAAACTTCATATAAACCGGGCAGCCACGTCATCGTGTAGAAACAGTTTTAAAAATTTATATTTATAATATTATAGTTCAATTAAATTATAAATATATATATCTTGTTTATAACTATATTATAAACAAGATACAAAGCAGAAATATGAACATTTTATAATTAAATAATAATTTAATTAATATAATTGACAATCATGATTAAAATTGTATTGTCCAAGAATCGAAACCGGAGCTCCGGCAAGTGAACCAGTGAGCTCAACCACTAGATTATCGCGGTCATAAAAAGATTATATATTTATATATCTGCAGTAAACAGGTGTTATTGTTGCATAATGTTTTGCAGTGGGTAATATTAATTTACAGCCGGACCTAATATTTACAGATAAAATTATCGCTCAGTCCTATACCAGCAGTTTTCACACATGGTTTTTTGTCTTGATGCACTTTTATAATCTATACTAATATTACAAAGCTGAAGCTTGTTTGTTTGTTTGAACGCGCTAATCTCAGGAACTACTGAAGAATCGAGTTGAAAAATTATTTTTGTGTTGGAGAGTCCATTTGTCAAGGAAGCCTTCCTTGGACTATTAAAGCTATATAAGATTATGCTACCACAATAGAAGCGAATCATCAGAGGAAAATGTTGCAAAAAATCCCCCGTTTTTACTTGAGGGCTTCTGATGCATGCGCTGCGTAAACGGTTCAAGTTATCCAAAAATATATATATCGATAATATTTTTATAACCATGTGTTAGGGGTGGACAACCCTTATCACTTAGAGAAACTTTTTTTTCCGACCACTCTAATGCCGTTGGCCGCAGATGGCCTTTACAGCTTCACCGGACGTTAGGGTGCAGATGGCACTCCAAACCCGCGGAAGGACTTATGAAGGCCAGCTCCTGCCTGACGGATACGACTTTAGTCTGAGAGCACCACTAGGGATTCGAACCTCGGCTCAGGCCGTCGTAATTTCGATCCTTGTTTGAATTGTACGGGGGTATGAAAAATTAAATAGTAGCCGATTTTTATATGCATTCTCAGGCCTACTGAATATGTATATAAAAATCGGTCATTAATCTCACCTTAATGAGCTCCTTCAGTCTGTCTGTGACGTACAAATATTTGTTTTCATCGTATTTAGCCACATCTCCAGTCTTGTACCAGCCATCGTCTGTGAAATCACTGTTCGTTGCTTCATCGTTTTTGTAATAGCCGTTCATGACGTTGGGACCGCGTATCCAAAGCTCTCCTTCCTGTAATATTAAATAAATATGGTAATTATTATTTTTAACGGTCTCAGTAGTCTAGCAGTTAGCAGACCGCTTTATTTCTGATGATTGCGGGTTCGATTCCTCACACGGTAAAAAACATTTGTTTTCATTAGTATGATTGTTTGTATCAGTTTGGGCGTTTTCTATGTATGTATTTACAAAAAAAAGTGTATCTAACTAAATATTTTTTTCAACTTTCTAGTAGGTACCCATAACACAAGCTCAGCTTATCTTGGAACTAGATGGTGCTGTGTGAATTGTCCACGAATTGTGAAATTAAGTCCTACATAGTTTAAATTAATTCATACTTTGGTCAATTTCACATATTACTTTTATGCATTCCCTAGCGCTACATCTGTATTAGAAAACAAATGAAAAACAGTATGTTATGTTATGTTATCAAACACTTACTTCTCCAGGTCCGAGAGCCTGATGCGTTTCCATATCTGCTATTTTGGCTTGACAATTGGCCAGAACGTGGCCGACTGACGTATGGTTTCTATCCGACTTCTTGCCCACGGAGAATGAGCCACATGTCTCGGTAAGACCGTAGCCTTGACGGAAGTATAAGTTATTCTGAAAATACATAGTTCATTAATACATTTGTAGGGAAAGAATGAGATGTTAGTAATGTGGACTAATAACCTCATTACTACCAAACACCATGTGAGGTTGACCTCCACGCGGTTCCCCTGGAAACCATCGTGATAAATTCCTGGTGAATTTCTCATGATGGGCTGACTGACCTGACCTCATGTCCATCTTATCATCCTTCACTGGTACTCCACTGGTGTAAACCATTAGCGCGGGCGGGTGCCCATTCCATTATCATCATCATTCACACCATCATATCATTTACAGCATCATTTTTCAATTTTTATGCGACCCACAAAAAAGTCAAATAGTTAAGTAAAAAGTTTTGCAACCCCATAGCTTTAAATTTATAATAATATGTAAATAGCCTGCTGTTTTTATTATCTATACGTTATATTATTCATTAGTTTAAAATCTTCACTGGTTTTTTTCAAACTAATTCTTGCACAAAACAAAGTCGAGCCCCCCAAGGGTCGCGACCCCCGCTTGAGAAACGAACCAGTGTTTGTCAAGCGGGGGTACAGAGTACTAAAAATAAAGGTAGTATTGCGACTCTATATCTTTATCGAACAATGACATAATTGATTGTCTATCTATAAAATTAACACTTAATGCAATCATATCTAAAGGTCTAGAGTATAATGTAGTACAGATTACAATCAAAAGCGTGCTCGATATGCGCCACATATCAATATCAATAAAAAAAAAATATCTGGCCACTTTTAATAACTTCACTTATCATAAGCACTTTTTGTTAGGTTCAAGGTACAAGTGTTTAAGATTAGATTGTTAGTATATACGATTAGGTATTGGAAATTTATCGTTGTGAATTTGTTTTATTATACTTTTATGATGGATATGCTGTAAGTGGGATTAGTAGATTATTAAATTAGTGTTAGCAACACAGAAGTGCGTGCGTACTGATTCTCTAGCTACTCGTATATTTAAATAAATAAATAACTGGACATAATTAACAAACATTAAGTTTATAATATGCGAAAATAATGTATACGTGTATATATTTATTGTTAGTTATGTAAAATACTACATTTATTTGAAAAGAATACGAGCTGAGTTTTTTGACAGTTCTCCGCATTTCGAAATCATTCAAACTGACGGCAGACTTGACATATCATAGAGTCGGTAATAGACCTACATGAAGAAAGACATTTTGATATTGAATTTGTATTATTTTACTAATAAATAAAGAAAAAACTTTGAAGTACATTTCCCAATTTTTTTTATTCTTGATTTATTTCAAATTTCAATATGACACGGCAATCACTATATTCTCTAATAAAAAGATAATTTTGACATTGGTTACCAATACAATGATAATTTTGTAGAACAGTTACGTACTGAGCGTTTGAATAATTGATCTATCAACATACAGCAAATTTTAATGATTCAAAACCTTGATATATTAAACGTAAGAGATATTGGAATGGCAATGAATCTGACTCCCCACATATGTGAATAGCACTACAGTCAAAACACATTACCATGTTTTTTTTTAAATAACAATGGAATGGTGCTCCCGCCTGCGTTAAAGGTTTACACTGGCGGGGCACCAGTGGAAGATGATAAGATGAGCATGCGGTCCGATCAGTTAGCCCATCGTGACAAATTCACGAAGAATCTATCACGAATTTCCAGGGGGAACCGCATGGAGGTCAACCTGACAATATACCATATATTGCTAGCAATGAGATCATCAGTCTACATTACTAACAATACCCTTTTAAAAAGCCCCCCCACATTACCATGTTTAAGTTGTAAGCTCTTATGAGTTGCCATCTATTAATATTAAGCATTATACCTATGTAAATAATTCGAATTGCAAACAAGATAAAAAAGTTGCTTACAAGCATCAATACTATTATAGACATAATAAAATTAATTGTGAAGGGCTGGGCTCACCCATTATACTAATATTACTTGTTGTGAACGGGTGCTACTTGTAGGGACTAGTCGTTCTAATACCTATGTCTGATCTATTTTATTACTTTAGTAACTATTTATTTGCTATTTATTATATTTTGTATGATTAGAATTATGTATGTTGGCATTTGTGTAGTCAGTTCTTTTTAGATCGAACTATAATACTTTCAAATCTAACTAATTTGATTCATCGTAAGCAACCTTCTAACCTAAACACAGCTGCCAAGCAATTTGCTAATTCTATTACATTATGGTAATACTGAAATGTACGACGTACAGAAGGAATAATAAAAATATATCCGCAGGGGAGTAGGGTGTTGTTAGTAATGGGAACTAGCTACCCCTTGAACCCCATTGCTAGTAATGTCAGGTTGACCTCCATACGGTTCCCCCTGGAAACCATCGTAATAAATTCCTTGCGAATTTGTCACGATGAGCTAACTGACCTGACCTCATGCTCATCTTATCATCCCCCGCTGGTGCCCCGCCAGCGTAAACCGTTAGCGCAGGCGGGTGCACCATTCCATTATCATCCATAAAAAAATATATCCGCAATAAATCCTCTTAATCTACTAATAATCTTGTAGATTAATAAATAATACCCATTGTTTATAAAAATAAGAATACAACAAAACAAAAACAATTGAATCCACGCCAGGTACAGAGGTTGTTGTGGAAATTTACGCTACGCCTAATGTTTTGTTATCAACACATAGTAGGTATACTTACGTGAGATAACAAAAGAGCGTAATTTATTGGTATCGAATATAGATGACTAGCTGTATCCTGAACAACGGCCGCGATGGTATAGTGGTTTAGCACACAGTCTTACGAAAGTATCGCTGTGGATTCAATTCATCGCACGATGTAAACATTTGTATTCGTGAATATGCTTGTTATATTGGTCTGAGTGTATTCTGTTATAATGTACTAGTTACGCCCACGATTTCGTCCGCGTAGAATAGTGACCTTGATCAAATAAAGAAAAAAATGTTATGAATCTTCCTCAAAGTCCTTTCTGAAGATCTAGGCTGTCTTAAGCAAATTTCATTAAAATCGCTTCAGTAGTTTTGCGTGAAAGCGAGACAGACAGACAGAGTTACTTTCTCATTTATATTATTAGCAAGGAAGTAAGGATGCATTTACAAATAAGTGTATTTAAGTATTTCTGTCAGATGTTTAGTTTAGTTAACCTAACTTTGAAGTAGATGGCGCTGTGTGAATTGTCCCGTGTTATTTTTATTATCCTCTAGTTTATAATATTAATAGAATTGGCCTAGCATTATTGAATTGTGGTAATTTTATTATGATGAATTAGCAAAAAAATAGTGAACAATTATTTTTATATTGATATCGTGCAAAATATCTATTAATTCCAATCTAAAAATAAATTATACGATATTGCATATACTTTTGTCACGCCACAAACATAACAGAAACGACAAATTACGTAACTTATCTATAAAAAAAATCATCACGACTATTATACCCCGGGGTAGATGTACTGTCAATTGTCGACGTCGTGTAGAACGCAACACTTGACATGTTCACATTTATTGACTTTTGACACTTGTCAGATATATTTGAATCTAATGTAGCAGAGGGCGAGGCATTGTTCCCGGCGTTTACTTCATCGGAGAGTCAGTCAGAAATATAAATTGACACACAAAGAAATTTATTCGATGTCAGTCCGATATGAACTTATGTCCTAATGGTTGTGAGAGAGTGTAGTAAACGAGTAAGTTATAACGCTCTCATTATTAATATGCATATATAATACACTATATCGAGTGGAGACCTAAAAATTGGCAAACGTAGCGTAGGATGCCCCGCAGCAGAGAGAGTGATACAACATAAGTATTAAGCTTAGATGAGAAGGGCTTAAGATCATGCCTTGGGAGAGACCCATACCCAACATTGGACTGCAGTGGGCTATATGTACTATAATTAATATACCGTAATTAAAAGATATAATTGAACTGATTAAAGTCCATCTTTTCGTGGAATACGATATACCTACATCTTCTAATTAATAATACAATTATATTATTTATCAGTCACAAGGAATATTATCTACAATGTTATTTATAATTGCGATAAAAATAAAATTAGTATTATTTAATGTTGGGATATTTATCCGGGAGACGGCAGCAGTATTTGAATTTGAATCCATTTGAATCCGTGAAAGCCCCAGCTTTCACGGATTCAAAAGGATTCAAAAGGTCAGCTCCTGCCTGACGGATACGACTTTACTCTGAGGGCACCGTTAGGTGTTCCAATCTAGGCGCAAGCTCTCCGTTTGAATTGGACGGTGGATCATCAGAAAGGCAATAATTATGTGTTAATTAACAGCCTGGTAGCCTATCAGTTTATCAGATTGATTTACTTCCGTCGCGGGTTCATTTCCTCGCATGGTAGAAACAAGATTCATAATTATTGTTTTCATCGTTCCGAGTTTTGTATTGTAAATACGAAACAAAATGTATTTATTTATTAATATAATTTGTCCAGTACCCATAACACATGCTCTTCTTCTGAGATGTTATCTATACATATAAATAAAATTGGAGTGTCTGTTTGTAATATTGAAATAACCGTTTTTTACTACATGCATATGAATATAAATACGGTACATACACCAAAACAAAATTTTTTATCATTTTTGTCTGTCTGTCTATCTGTTTGTTCCGGCTAATCTCTGAAATGGCTGGACCGATTTTGACGGGACTTTTTTGGAAGGTAGCTGATGTAATAAGGAGTAACTTAGGCTACTTATTTTAGAAAACTAAAGTTAAATTCCACGTGGGCGAAGTCGCGGGAACAGCTAGTATAAAATAAATTACGCATAATTTTTATCCCCTATGTTAATCATATTTTGATATACGATAAAGATTTGGACTATGTACGTAGGTACGCTTACTATAAGATAAGGTACAAGATTTATTAATTCCACGCAGTCAAACAGTGCCCTGCGCCAGTTGTTATAGTAACTTTGTGTGACCGACGTGGTGGTCCGCATTCACCGCATTCAATATGCACTTATATATCAATATAACAAATGAGATCATTGTTAAGATTGTATTACCGAATACGCTAAGAGTAGAGTGCACTGTATATAAGAATTTATAGTTAGCCTGTGCTACTGAAATCACCAATGAATGAGTGTGCATTGTATGAGATCATAGTTACGTCTGTATTATCGATGAGGCTAAGAGAAAATTACATATTGCATGTGATCATAGTTAAGTCAGTATTAACGATGGTGCTAAGAGGAATGTGCACATTGTATTAGATCGTAGTTGAGCCTGTGTTATCCATGTTGCTAAACGAAAAGTACACATTGTATGAGATCGTAGTTGAGTCTAATTTATCGATGTTGCTAAACGAAAAGTGCATATTGTACGAGATTGTAGTTGAGCCTATATTATCGTGTTGCTAAATCAAGAGTGCACATTGTATGAGATCACAGTAGAGCCTGTGTTATCGATGTTGCTAAACGAAAAGTGCTCATTGTATGAGATCGTAGTTGAGCCTGTTTTATTGACGTTGCTAAATAAAAAGTACACATTGTATGAGATCGTAGTTGAGCCTGTGTTATCGTTGTCAGTAAGATAAAAATGCAAGTTGTATGAGAGAAGCTTGTATTACCGCTGTCGCTAAGGAAAAATGTATGAGATCATAGTAAACCTTGTATTATCGTTGTCGCTAAAGGAAAAGTGCACATTGTATGAGATTAGGAAAGATAAGCCGTTAAACCCGTGGCTAAGTCGAACATCAGCGTGGTAATAATGATAATAATAACACAGGACAATTCACACAACGCCATCTATCCCCAAAACTGTGCAGAGCTTATACAATGAGTACCAAACAACTGATAGAAATAATTAATTACATGTATTTGAAAATACATACATAATATAGATAGAAAACAAAGCGATACAAAGACAATATAATTAATACACTATAATTTTATACAAAGGATTTGTAATTAATAATCGCAAAACAACATGAGTAATTTTATGTAATAAAAAATGCCCTCAAATTCATTACAGTTACATTAACAGCGAATAAATTGGGCTGTATTTATTTTTAGTAAAATCATAGATTCCTACGAAAATTACAATAATGTAAATCAACTTATTAAAAATATTATTGGACTAGATTTTGTCTAATCTGTAATCTGGATTAGTATTTATACCCTTCACTGGAAATTAAAGTACTGGATTTAAAGTACAACATGTGTTAATTAGTTCTTTCGTGTTATATGATAACACGGCACGGGGCACGCTACTAATTAAACGGTTATCACAAAAGGCGACTGGATTGATCTTGAACCAACTGACCATACTGAGATATGATAAATTACTAATCATATACTACATAGTATATGATTATAGAATAAACATTGCTTTGAGAGTTGCATTTATACATTCAGTGTAAATATAAAATACTAGCTGACCCCGTAAATGTATTGCCACAATTAAAATCGCGATTAAAATATAGAGGTTAGTGGTAGAAGGGTGAAAACTTAGGTTTATATGCATTCTTAATGCCACGTTATAAAATAAATAAAAAATAATTATTTGGGGTGGTTATCACTTAGGGGCATGAAAAATACATAGTAGGTAGCCATTTCTCAGATCTACTGTATATGCGTATAAAATTTCGTAAAAATCGGTCAATCCGTTTCGTGATTGTGACATAGAATTTTAAATATAAGATACATATGTTTCAAGACCATTCCCAAATTCTAGTTTCAAGTTAAACAGAGGTTTTGTTGTGAGTACTAACTATAGACAAATGATAGAACTACTTAGATATATTTTTTGTACATACATACATAATATACATAGATAACACGTAGACCAATACAAACATACTCATGCATACAAATGTTTGTACCGAGCGAGGAATCAAAACCGCGAAAATCGGTAGAAAGCCCGTGTACTAACCGATATACTACTATAAATAACTAGCATAGGATCATAAAAATCAAGATATTAGATATACCATTAGAATTAAGTAATAAAATAAAGATAAGAAAGAATTATCGTAATTCATATAGATTTATAATTCAAGATACGAATTTGATATATATAATTATAAAATACAAAACAAACAAATATATCTTTAAGACTATAATCCTAAACGCATCAACTGATGTCGTCGTGGTGAACACTTGACATTCCTACATTTCTGTCAGCATATTTTCTTTTGTATCAAACTGTGGTGACTTCAATTAATTGTTTGTTACATGTGTGTTTATTAAGTGAGTAACAGGTACATAATCTATACTTACTAATATTATTTAGAGGTAACATTTCTGAGTTTAGATGTTCGGAGTAATCAAGTTTACTGCCGATTTTGAATATTAATTTAGTGTTGAATAGCTCATTTATAAAGGAAGGCTATATAACACGCTATGACCAGTAGAATCTGAGCTGTAATGACAAATGTTGCAAAAACGGGGGAAAATGCGACGCAGAAGAATTAGGTGGGTCGTAAGAGCGCACATCGAGCGTGGGATAGCTAATAGACACGCAGTAGCGTGTCAAGCCGAGTTTCAAGTAAACTGGCAAGCAGCACCGTGTGTATATTTACACGAACCATTTGGAGCCACTTTTGACCCCCTCATAACTCAAAAACTCTTTCACACAAACCTGTCAAATTTGGTTCATAGCTGGCTTTACATGAAACGTTTTTTCACGAGCGCTTGCGATTTAACGCAGACTCCAGCACAAAGTTAAGTTTCTTTTGAAATTATATATTTTACTAGCTGTGCCTGCCATTCCGTTCGGATGTTATAGTGACCTTGGCCAAATAAAGAATAAATATTCAATTATTTAACCCAAATGGGAAAATTTTATTTTACCCCCCTTTCGATCAAATTACCTAAAGAATAAGTTTCAAACTTTAAAATTGACAACACTTCCATACACACTTTCTTCTCTCCTTTCAACCCCTTACAAATCCTTTTTCCCATTAAAAAGAAGCCTATGTCCTTTCTCGGGGTCTAGGCTATCTGTGTGCTAAATTTCATTTAAATAGGTTCTGTAGTTATGGCGTGAAAGCGAAACAGACAAAGAGACCGAGTTACTTTCGCATTTAATACTACTAATTCCACAGATTATATTTCAAAATGACGCGCGCTCTCTCTCTCTCTTCTCTCATTAGATTCGTGCCTGAAAGAGGCAACTTGTAGAGGTTAATTAGGTTAGGTACAAATTAATTAGGTATAATCTTACTTTTTTGGCAACAAGTGCATCAGCATCATCCGGAGACAGAGGCGCGGCCCCGCAGATGATGGACGTCACCGGCGCCAGGTGAGCGGCGGTCACAGCCGGGTGCCGCGCCAGGAACACCGCTGGAAACATTTATTCATTTATTTTATCAACAATACCACCATCACAGAAAATCCATATATTATATTACTCTACTGAGGTACAATATGGGTTTTTGGATTATCTACCGAGAGGGCTTATTAGTAATATGGACTAGCTGCTCCATTGCTAGCAACCATTGTAATAATGTATATCTTACATCAATGGAATGTAAGTAGTTTTTTATTAATAGAATGATACTCCCGCCTGCGCTAACGGTTTACGATGGCGGGGCACCAGTGGACGATGATAAGATGAACATAAGGTCAGTTCAGTTAGCTCATCCTGACAAATTCACCAGGAATTTATCACGATGGTTTCCAGGGGGAACCGCGTGGAGATCAACCTGACACGGTACTTTGCTAGTAATGGAGTTATGAGTCCATTATTAACAATCTCCCCGGGTGGAAGTAGTTAGTAATGTGGACTAATTACATCATTACATCATTGTACGCAGTCAGATTGATTGTGATAAATGCCTGGTGAAATTGTCAGGATGGCCTAACTGACCTGACCCGACGTTCATCTTATCATCCAGTTAGCGCAGGCGGGTGCACCATTCCATTATCGTACTAATATTATAAACGCGAAAGTTTGTGAGTATGGAATGGATATTTGTTACTCTTTCACGCAAAACCTACAGAACGGATTTTGATGAAGCTTTGCAGTAATATAGCTCATACATCAGAATAACATATAAGCTATTAATTTCACGCAAGTGAAACCACGGGCACATCTAGTCATCCATATAAAAAACAGCACTCTACTCTAGAATACAAGTTCAACTTGTCAAGATTGTCGAGTGTGATAGTTGAAAATTTCTAAGTCACAGCAATTTCAAAAATATGTCCACTCACCAATAGGCGGCACCATGAATAAGATATCAGTCTTGTACTTCGCTACAGTCTGCAGGAACAGTTCTGGTTTAAACTGCGGCAGTGTGACAAGCTTACAACCCAGGTACAGTTGACTCAACATCAGAATGTTAAACCCGAATATGTGGAAGAATGGAATCACTGCAGCGAAGACCGACTGCTGCGTTGCTGTAACGAGACAGTATCTTTAGACATAGTTTTTTCTAAATCTGGGTTAATTAGAGATGACACTCTAATAAAAGCTAGACTTCCGACGCTAGAACATCGACGCAAAGTGGCCAGTCTATTGGTCTTTTATGATACACTTTGACGCATACAAGACCATGCATAATTAGATCTTGCCTTCCCCTTTTACAACCAAGCTACACGACGACCACTACGACCCATACGTCGTGAAATTTCCACATATTCGCACTAAGCAGTTCACGTCGTATTTTCTAATACGCACTAACAAAGAGTACTTCCTTTGACGCTGGTCAGATTTCCATGCTTAATATTCGTGGTCTCACACATGCAGGTAGCAGAGTAAAATAGATATAAACTACTGTTCGGGTTACGAACACTGATTAAACTATTTGCTTTTGACAAAATTGCTATAGCATATGCTGGTGGTCACCATATTCTCCCAAATTTGAATTTAAAAATGAATCTTTATTATTGTAAACATGTACAACCATATTTGAAAAGAATAAGAGATGAGTTTCTTGTCAGTTCTTCTCATCTCGAAAGCATTCCGAACTGACTGTAGATTTGACATATCATAAGAGCCTGTAATAGACCTACACGAATAAAAATATTTTGATTTTATTTGATTTGAAAACTAAACAATACAAATCCTTTAATAAGGTCCAAAAATACTGCTAAACTCACCAGTTGTTTCCAAAATCGCCATAATTTCAGGAGACGCGATCATTGTACTGCTAGCAACCATAGATCTATGGGTTAACACAACACCTTTAGGGAACCCTGAAGTGCCACTCGAGAATGGTATAACAGCAATATCATCTGCATTCCTTTTGACGGACTTCAAGCAATTGGTATCCGCGTTCAAATCCTCGGCGAAATCGGCGAACTTAATCGTGCCTTCAGGTAAACCTTCGTTATCTATTAATATTATTGGCACTGTCTTCTGCAAGGACTGTAGTGCTTGCACGACGTTTGCATATGATAGTTTGGATGTTATCACAAGTTTGCATTCAATAAGTTCTAACTGTCGTTTTAGTTCCTCTAAAACAAAAATAAAAGTTATATTTTTTGTAAGTCTTTAATTACAGTTATTTTTACATTTTATCTTTTTCACTTTTTGTGCACAGGAAATAATAATTTGATCTGTATGTTCGAGTCTATTTCCGCAATTAACCTCTCGTTTGGGCGTGATATTGTTCTTTTCAAATATACGAGATTCCTCGTACCCTACGAGATTTTTAGTACGATGTACACCCTTCTATTGTTACAACTTTGTACTAGATCTTAGACTTCACAAATTTGGAGACAAACAAAATCAAACGATAAAAACTTACTTTCTCAGGTCAATTTAGTAAAAATAGTTTTAATTGTCTGTGGTCATCAAATGATTCGTCAGCTCGTTTGTCATTCCAGTTATTAAATAAAAAAAATTTAACTATTTTTTTAATGATGTCGTTAAGTTAATTTAAGTTAAGTTAATTTAAAATATGCTTACCTGTTGTATACATAGGGTTCATTGGGCTAACGATACAACCGGCCTGCAAAGCGCCCAACACAATACACGGATATTCGGGAACGTTCGGTAGAATGACGGCCACTTTGTCATCCTCCCGTAGTTTCAGTTTCAAGCGGAGGGAGGCTCCGAAAACATTGGAAATCCTGTATAATTGTGCATATGTGTAACCACGCCCAGTTACTGAACATACCTGAAAAAAAATTGCATATAATATACTTTTCTTTTATCAGAATAAAATAATTAGAGTGCCTTTACCTAGTGGTTTATTACCCCGAATTAGAACGAAAGTTTGTGAGTTCAATTCAATTTCACGCAAAAAATAATTGGCGCTCTATATTTCTAACTCTCTAAAGCGAAATACCAATAACAAACCAAATTAATATGAGAAATAGTGGTAGGCCGCTTTTGACATTGGATTCATTAGAATACCGAATGAAATACACTAAAGAATATACTACAGTCTAGTCTGTATACATTTTAACACAGGCTATAAATTTCATTCGCATGAAATTTATAGCCTGTGTTATTCTGATGTACAGGTTATATTACTGTAAAGTTTCATCGAAATCAGTACAGTAGTCTTGCCTGAAAGAGTAACAAACATCCATCCATCCATACTCACAAACTTTCGCGTTTATAATAATAATAAGATATTACTATTATATAAACGGTTTATTATTTTCATCTCTGATTGCCATACCAATGTTACTTTGACTGTTACACTCGTCCTGACTTCCTCGATGCAGGCATAGCCTAGTGTGGGGTATATATAAAATGTAACTTAAGTTTTCCGAAATAAAACTTAATCTTATTCCATTCTAGTATTATTAAAGCGTTAATTCTCGGTCTACGGCCGTGTATGAAAATTAAAATAGTTTACATAAATATTTCTAAACTAGTATGCATTAGATCCTTGAACACCAATTGTTTTGTTAATGTTTGACGTCAACATTTTAGAAATGTTTTTGTAGCTATTTAAATTGTAAATAGGAAAAATTAAAATGGATTCTATATTCTATATTTTCCTAAGCTATTTTTCTGTTCATAAGAATTGTTCGTGCTTCAACTTTCTATTAGAAAAGAAATTAGTCATAACAATTTTTTTTATATTACTGCAATAAGGGAAGAGTAGATTAGTTCTGGAATAATAACACTATTGCTTGCTATGTACAATCAGTTTGTCCTAAACTCGGTCCTGGAAACCATCGTAATAAATTCCTGGTAAATTTGCCACGAAGAACTAACTGACTTGACCTTATGTTCGTCTTATCATCCTCCACTGGTGCCCCGTCAGCGTATACCGTTAGAGCAGGAGGGTGCATTGCATTATCATCTATTTAAAAAAACTTCGGAGACAGAAATATGTGAAGTCATGCAGACATTGTACAGTCTACCTAGATAATAGTCAAATCGTTCTATCTTGAGCTTAGTAACACATTTGGCGAACCATTTTTATTTATACAGACAGATTTATTAAATGATATAAACACACTGTACATATTGTACACCTTGAACTGTGGACACCACTACGCATTGCTACTCACATAAAAGGTACGTCAGTAAAATTCACAGTTAACTGTCAATTTTTTTTTGTTTGGATTATCATCAATTGGGTTTCTTTTTAGTTTCTAACTCTAAATTAATAATCACGAATGTCATTCTAAAAGGTTGTTCGAAATAAATAAATATTCCGTAACACCAATATTATCTGGTTTTAATTATCGCTTTAAAAATTTTGTAGTTCAGGTATTAAATATGAACCGAAATTTAAAATTCTTATGTCATTTGAAAGCTGATACCTCCTATTTGGTCCTATATTCATATTATCACGACCTTACCAGTAGTTTCTGAGATATCATAAATAATGTGATTGAAGTTTTTTCGTGACCTAAACACGGTACTATATTTTCTATTGTATGTCAGAACAACATTCTCAAATTCTTTGACCAGATAAATCTTTCAAACTAGTTGTACCACATAGTTTGTCACTCTGAAATAATGTACACTAAACGGTGAATTTTCGTTTAATTTTTTATAACAAATTCGTCAAATCACAATAGATTACTTAAATACATACATATATATGATTCTGTATCTGGACTTTGTAATAATCAACGACTTAACAGTAATAAAACTATAAACTTTGATTCAAGCAAATGTTTTATTACACATTATTACGTTAATAATCATCCGATAGTCCGTTGAACATAAAACATAATAGATATAATTAAAAGTACTTACAGTCGCCGTTTTATCAGGCCATCTGTCCATTGTTTTCCAAACAAATTCGCTAACTGTATCGTTGGAATGCGGTATATCATCGTACACAGAGGTCAACAAGTTTTTTTCAGCAAGAAGTGGCTTCTTCAGACCAACAGTTGAATATGATGGCAGGAATTTCTGTTTTCTTATGGCTTGTTTAAACAGATTTCTCATTGGCGATGCCATTGTCGAGCTGAATTGATTTCTAAAACAATACATACAGATTATAATATACCTTGATTACTGTAATGCCAGATGGAGTAGTTTTTTATAGATAATAATGGATCGATGCAATCGTTTACAATGCGTTTACGCTGGCTGGACACCAGTTACAAGACGATAGGATGAGCATAAACTCAGATCTGGTAGCCCATCGTGGCGAATTGCCCAGTTTCCAGGGGGCAATGGAGATCGTCTTAACATGGTTTGTATTTGAGCATGATGCAAATGATAGGATTGGAGGTCGTCCTGACATGGTTTGCAATAAAGCATGGTACAGATGATGGAATTCTTTGTTGGGGTAGTTGCAATAAGCAAAAATGGTGAAAGCAATATAGCACTACCCCAACAATCATAACAATCCCCTCCTCCCCAATAGTTATAAGTCAAAATAGTATACGACCTGACGCATTTGCATATACTTATATGTATATTATATAATGTAATTAATTATATAAATGCTGACTGATTTACGTATATTCTAGATACAATCAACATTACTACGACAATTATGAAATAATTCGTACAATGTACGACCAATCAAATACTGTGATAAATGGATATCTAATGTGATAATCAGGTCATGATAACGGATAAAATTTAATATCGATAGTTGTGACGTAAAGTAGGTTGCCTAAATTTGAGCCAGTCATGCTCACTGGATTCTCCTGACGCAGTGGAGTTGCGGTGACGCAGAAAGAGTGTGTAACCACTCCTTTTCATAAGGTATGAGGGGAAGGGGGGTGTTAGTTATGGGAGTCAATGGTCCCTTAGAATATATCATGGAAGCTCAACCTCCGCGCTGTCCTTAAGTTAAAATGTAGTTTTTTTGTGTGATAATGGAATGATGTACCCGCTTGCGTTATCGGTATGCATTGGCGGGCACCAATGGAGGATGATATAAGACCAGTTAGCCCATAGTGGTGGATTCATTAGGAATGAAAGGATATGACTTCCAATACGGAATGCGTATAGGTCGAACTGAGAACTGATAGGGCATTTCGCTAGTGGGCATTCCCCCTGTCCTCATTACTAAAAATCCCCATAAATTGTTATAACTGGGCAAATATAAGCCAAGCTCAAATTCCATTTTTATAATTTTTTCTAATGCTTTTGTCAGCAACTAGCGTCGCTTGGCAGCTTCGCCGAACGAAAATGAAGGCGAGCGCAGAGAGTCCAAATCCGTGAAAGAATTTGTGGAGCTGTTGAAGGGAAGGTTCTGCCTGATGTATACTTTAGTATAACGGTACTGTTAGGAGGTTCGAACCTAACTCAGATCGTCATAATTCCGAACCACATTGATAGTACAGAACAAAGCATTGAGATTTTGAGTCGAATACACTCAAGGACCTTTCTTAGACCAATCGAGGTCACACTTAAATGAGTACTGCATTTCTGGTATCTACCGCTGATAAGACGTTCAGCTGTCAACTGTTATCGTCTGGATTGTATCACGTTTGAAACAACTTGAAAACGTGGAATATAAATTTCCACTTGCGTTTAGCCTAAATAATATTAGTGGTTACCCAATGGTCGAAATTCTACAATAATTAATTTGAATTACATGTTTGAACATAATTGAGGTGCATGTTTACGTCCATTACATATTGTGTGTATATATCTACATATATATATCTACGCATAATTTTCAAAAAATATTTGCGTTCTGCATTCCTCTATATAAACTGCTATAAGTGTGCGAAATTTCAAACATCTCAGTCCACGCAATTATCGTAGGGGTATTAAATTTTTGTATATATTACACGCATAATTTTAAAAAAATGCGTTGTGCACTAGCTAAGTGTCCGAAATTTTATACGCCTCGGTCCACGCAATTTTAGAAAAGAGGGTTACAAAGTGTTTGCTGCTCTTATTAACATTATAATGTATTTTCTTGCTATCTACCATTCGGATCCGATGAAAAACAACTAGAACTCTTTTATACTATTTCATGATTTGTTTAAACAACTGTACGTGACAAAGTAAAACATCTGACTGTCAAATACTACAAAATATGTATATACAGTGCTGATATACATATAGAGGTATAAAGAAGTTAAAGTTGTCAGCTCCATCTTTGCTGAAGCGAAGCAAAACATAAAGCTTGCCGATCTCGGGATTTCCTCAGTTAGATTCAAACTGGCAGTAACAGGGACCTGCCTCCTGTATGAATGCTTGGGTTAATCTCCTGTAATACTGATCAGATTTTGATAACTCTTGTAATGTTGTATAGTACATTTATCTAGAAAGGCTCTAGGCTATATAAAATCACGTTACGACCTGTAGGAGAGTAGGTGCAATGAGAAATCTTTTGGAAATGTCGCAAAAAAGGGTAAAATGTGACACAGACGAAATGGCGCGGATCAGCAAGTACACAATATGGCCGTTATATTCAGTTTATACCTACTGTTTTCAAATTGTCTACATTCGCACAATTAAGGCGAGTCTATGACGCCACTCATTAAAATTTATCATGCGTCTAGAGGCTAATGTTGCGCCAAACACATAATTATACCTACATACGTGCTTACAATGGTGCACCCAAAAAACATAACCGAGACTGTTTATTTTCTTTATTATTATTATTTTCTGCCATTATAAAGCCTTTTTTCTGAAAGTGTGATCAAGCCTAACCAAGTTTTAAAAACGATATCTGGCAATTCGCAACGCACGTAAATATTTTTCAAATCTAAATCTACGTAACTTCACTTAGTACAAAACAAAGTCGTCCCGCTGTCTGTTCGCTTATATCTTGTAAATTACGTAACGAGTTTTAATGCAGATTTCAGCAATATACAGAGAGATTCAAGAGAAATGTTTATATATATAATACATCAGTGTTATACTATAGAACGAGGCGAGAAATTCAAAGATTGTAATGCATCCGTGCGAAGCCGGGACAGTCGCTAGTATAATACATATATAAGTCAGTTATACTATTTACAACTATTGTATATAGCTATTCTAGCTGAATACATTTTTGTAATGTTTGATAGAAACTTATAATTTATGCAAATATTTAAAAAAAATTGCTTTCTGCACTCCTTCTCTATGTAAACAGGAGTGCAAAATTTCATACTCATAGTTTTTGTTTCACGTATTGATATGTAGATATTAGTATAAGCAAGAAATAATATAATTTATTCAAATATAAAGAAATAAATAGTGGTCCCCGATCAAAGAATGGTTGAGAATCACCTAATGCGTTTATTATCTTTTGGAAGTGTTGTCAAAGAATTGATATCCACTCAATTTATCTAAAAAGCGGTACAAAGTTTTTGCTTCACGTATTAATAAAATGAATGTCATTTTGTGCATTACCTTTGACATTGTTATCATCACTTTCCTTTCAATCTTCGACGTTATTGCATTTGTAATCGACTTTGAATTTAATTTAGTTCATGAATAACATTGATTGATTCGGAGCTGGTACAAAGTTCACAGTCTTAACTAGTGATTACAAAAAATACCTATTGTTATATAATGATTATAAACAATAACTACTCTAAATTATATAAACCACTAGCGATAATTACAGAAAATGCGTGCACGTGTGTACACAATAGCGCAAAAAATTCATTATAATATTTAAAAAAAATTATAAGGAAAGTGCTATAAATTTTTTTTATATTTTATTATTATTTTCCCGTCAAAATCGGTCCAGCCGTTTTAGTGATTAGCCAGAATGAACAGAGAGACAAATTTTCTTCAAATAATTTTTGATACAAGTACCGTACATACTTTCACGTGCATTTAATGAAAAACTGTTAATTTGAAATTACAAACAGACACTTCTATCGATGTAACAATAAGTCGTAAACAGAAGCTAGTCTCATTAAAAAAAAATAAGAATTTGTCTATTAATTGTTTGTTTATGAGAGATAAACGCAAAAAATACATAACCCATTATAAAAATTCTATAAATGTACAATAACAACAGTCAACTTGACATTAAGATGAACTCCATTTTGTTTATCAAGTTAACTAAAAAAAAATGTTAATTGGAAAAAAATGTAAATACATGGAGAACACATTCAGTAAAGCTACAAACATGTTTTGTTCGTACATTTTTTCTGATGGCAGGTCAAGAGTGAACATCATTATATAGTCAAACAACACCTTAAAAATAAACGAGTTTTTTTTTTATTGAGTTCTGCTGCTAAGCAGCTCGATTTCCGAGCTGTTTTCCGACGTGAAGGATGACATTATGACATTCATTATGCAGTAAAACACTAAAAATGAACGAGGATTTTTTCATTAACTTCTGATGCAACAGCTTGAATTCCGAGCTGCTTTACAGCGTGAATAGTGACATTATGACAAATCATTATATAGTCAAACAAGTTCAAAATAAACAAAGATTTGTTCATTGAGTTCTGCTGCTAAACAGCATGATTTCCGAACTAATTTCAGGCGTGAAGGGAAAAATCTTTCTACAGTCATACACGTTAAAAATAAACGAGGATTTATTAATTGAATTCTGTTGCTAAATAGCTTGATTTCCGACGGCTGGCGGCCTAACGGCTGAAGCTCAACTCCTGCCTGACGGACACGACTTTAGTCTGAGAACACCGTCTGAGAGGTTCGAACATAGGCCGTCGTAATTTGAAATCCCGATGGAATGGTACAGATTACTCGTTTCAACCTTTGAACCAGAATATACTTTGTTGCTAACATCATAAAACTTCTAAATATGATACAGCTTAACATGTCAGTCGTATTAAAAAAATATATCATTTGTAATTTTCTATATTTTGCGGACCATATTAGATTAGCTCTGGCCAACCACAGATTTAGAACTACTGTACTAGACGGTACTTATGACATTCTTGACATGACCTATGGTGACGGAGTAAGTAGATAAGCAATACGGATGTATTACTTTATCTCGCTCGTATTATTATTTTATCGAAATAGACTTTGAACAAAGTGGTCTGCGTGGGAACCTCTGTCTCACCTATTTATAACCACAAGCTGCTTTGTAATATCTGTTTCTGTTTGGACGATAAGATATAGAATTATGGTAGCGATAGCCAGTACCTACTCTAACCCTGTTTTCTTTTTGAAATTTTTGCACATTAATGCGACGATGACAATCCTATAGAACCACATAAATACTAAATAACAAAAGAAATCAAATTAAATTGATACCAGCTCAAACAATCCCAGCCAGAATTGTTCTGGCTGGTAAGCTTTTATTAATAATTACTTTAATTAATAATTAAAGTTGATCTATTAAAAAAGTCACGTGTTATGGTGGTTGTTTGTATTCAAACTCTTAAATCTGAAAACACGAATGGAATGAAAATTCAAAAGTGCATTCAAATTCAAATTATCTTTATTCATGTAGGTATATTACAGACTCTTATGATATGTCAAATCTACTGTCAGTTCGGAATGATTTCGAGATTAAAATAACTGACAAAAACTCAGCTCGTATTCTGAGCATGACCGAATGGCTCACATTCGTAGCTTCTGGATAAACGAAAAAATTCTAAATGACAATTAAAAAAACACATAGCTACTACAACAAAATATTTTTAAACAAAAATCGGGAAACTGTTTGTATTTGAATCGGTAACGTTGTGATTATTTGTTGAGTTAATATATCTAACTAGAATAACATACAAGGCTGTTCGTTATTTACGCAACCTAAAATAGCTAAAAAGCAGACATTCTAGTTTAAAGCAAGTGGCAACCGTTGCGTAATGTCTACATTGTACAGCACCATAGACAATTCTTGTTTGTCTATGGGAACTATAAAAATATATGCAATAAAAAAGGAAGGTGTATATTTCGCGCCATTTAATACTCATTATAATACATATTAATAATTAGCGTAGATAAAGATAAATGGCGCAAGCACCTAATTTTTATTCAAGGATATATCACATTGCATCGTCTAGTACTAGAAGGGAGAGCTAGTACTATGCATGCTAAGAACTGATAGAAAAACTTTTTTTGTAAATACATACAAAACACTCAAATCAAAACATAATATAAAATTTGTATTATTAGTATTTTGATCTGAGTGGATATTGGACTAGGTACCTTGACAATCATTACATTATTCATAAAAATATGTTTAATAAATAACTATTATTTATACTATTTTCCCTAGCTACAGTGCTTGAATTTAAAATAATAACTGGCACATATACTGGTATAAATAAATTTTACATTTGTATTTACAAAGTAAATGTAAATGTATATGTAACCGTATATTTGTAATGGAGTAATATGGGTTCATTGAACTAAACAATATCATACTCCAGTTGAAAGTATAGACAATTGACGTGTATGTATGATTCTTATTTCACAAAATAAGAATGCTTAATTTCAATAAAAATTTTAATCAAAAAGAAAATTATACATATATATTATGCTTACAATTTAATCTATAAGACAATTTTTATTCAAATATAATATAAATTAAGCGCTCATATAGACATTTTTACTTCTAAACATAGTACTGTAGATAACAAACAGGATGAAATAAACTTTATCAAAACACTTAAAAAAAATTAAATTAAGTATGGTTTTGATGTGTATGTATGACAAAAAAATAAGAATGCTATATGTATATATCCAAACTTAAGATTTTTATTCATATGCTATAACATTTTTACTAATATTGTACAATGACAAAAAAAATTAAGTATGGTTTCCGAGCAAAAACTATGAAAACTATCATATGCTATAACCTAATATTGTACAATGACAAGAGCTATGAAACTATCTGCTTCTATATATTTTTTTATTATTAGTTATTTAAATTTAGTTAAATTATGTAAAATCATTACAATATTTTAATCTGCAAGGTTAGATTAAGTGATAACCATACCCATGTTGTCAACACAAACAAAATTATATGTTGACTGAATACAAAACAAATTAAAAGTAAGTAAGTAAAACATCATAGTAAAAATATAGAAAATATTGTTCAATTAATAAATCAAATAAATGTTTATAAAAAAATCTATGAAGTTATCTCTCAGTGTGATTTTAAATAAATTTAAGGAGAAATATTTATAAGCAAAACACAGAATTACTAGTCCATAGATTTAAATTTAAACTGAGTATTACTCAGTATTTCGATACTAATATGTCAGTAATGAATCACATCACCATATATAAATGCACAATATACTCTCTTCTACCAATCATTAAATAATTTAAATTTTATTCTTAATAAAATAGCTGATGTAAAGACCATAATTCTATAAAGTTAATATTCATTCATTTAAATAGTTTTAATTTTATTCTTGAAAACAAATAAAATTAAAAAAAATATTCTTAAATAACTGATGCAAAGACTATAATTCTATATTCTTAATTTATTTAAGTAGATTAAGAATATAGAATTATAGTCTTTAATTTATTTAAATAGTGTGTTGTTTTAATTTTTATAGATCACTTACCCAGCTTATTAATAATAATTTGGAGATCAATTATTAACTATGCAACTATAAAATAACTAATATCACGATGGTATGGTCCTTTTTCATTAAATATCTATCACTTAATTTTAGCAAATTATAAATAACAGATACAATAATAGGACGCTTTTAAAAAATAATATTCTCGATTATTTAGCCAATAAGTAAGGTAAGTTTCTTAAATTGAAACATTTAATACCTACTTAGAGATATTTGAAGTCACTGATCACACAAATTGTAATCGACCTTTGCAAGCGGCCACACTTCAGAAAGTGCGGTAACAACTAATCAATTATTTTAAATATTGACTTGTCTCGATCGACTCGAGTTGTAGAACAGCACCTACAGTGCAATAAATGATAAGAATAAAATATCGGCATGGAATCGAAAGTACACGGTGCAGAGTCCAAACTTCACGATTACCACAATAAAAGTAATTCCAGGCTAGTCACATAACTAACAAACTAAAACAAATAATATTATTATTCAATTTCAATTTTAATAACTTCGCTATAAAGTCAAAAAGTTACTTTCACAGACTATTTGACACATGACATTGACATCATAAATAGAAATTGACATTTGTATGGACACTGGACTTTGTATCGTAGTCCAGTGTTCAATCTCGTGAACATAATCACAACATTTTTCTAACTGTAGGTACTTCAATCCAGAAAATGATTGTTATATTTAGGTTTAAAATTAAAGTTTTTATAATCATATTCAAATTTTTCGTTGTTTCCTATTAAATAAAGTAACTCAAAATTCAAAGACGTAATAGAAGTTCTTTTACCAATATTTAGCGTAAAACAAGTGGAAATGTAAGTAAAATTGTTACGTACTTCTTTAATGCAATAAATAAAATTTTATTTAATATATCACAGTAGGTAGAGTGCTATAATTAATATTATAGTTTATATTTACACACAATTTTAAGAATGCAAACAAAGCAAATTATAGAAAATCTCATGCTTATATAGTTATTTTATTTTATACGGTATCTTCGGTACACTCCCACGATGTACCGCGTACAATCTGAAAACATTTTTTTTTATTTATTGCTGATATTTACAAACGTCCATGTAAATTACTTTATGTTTTCAGAGATTACTGAATTACATTCGATTCACTAATTTTAAATATATACGTCCATGAGGGAGACCCTGCTCTAAAGCGCCTGTCAGAAACTACGTATTATATAAAATGTTACAAGTGCACAACTACGTATCCTCCCGTAAAAAAGAGTAATTAACAAAATTTGTATATTTTAAAACCCTGCAATAGTGGCAAAATAAATGTTGCTGACGTACTGGCCATATACTTTTATACTTCATATATTGTATTTTTCTAAAGAATTTTATTATATATTTTTTGTATACAGAACTTTAATATCAAATAAACATTGTGACAGACAACAACATCCCACTTAGCCAACATTTATTTTGTCACTATTGCAGGGTTTTAAAATTTACAAATTTTGTTAATTACTCTTTTTTACGATACAAGGAACTATACACATTAAAAACAAAGTATATTGCTAACTTATTTTATATAGGCGCTTAAAAGAATAAAAACGTAGGTATTGGTAAACGTCTTTGTATTTTTTTTAAATATAATGAATAAATAGTACCTTATAATATGATAATTGATATCTATATCGATTAAGAAAAATAAAGTTACATCAGTAGATAACAACTCAGCACCAACAGTCAGTACACCTATGTATTTTATTTTTTATTCCATTAATAGTAACGTAGGTGACGTTAAAAAGTTTTAAAAAGTTTAGATTTATATACTGTAATACAAATATACTGGATATTTGACAACATGATAGAATGTAACGTAAATACCTTTTGTAAACCATTCCACGAACTACCAAAGTTTAAATAGCGCTATCTATACAACTTCAGAGATACTTAAATAGGTAAAGCATTCGTGTGGATTTCCTGTTACTTTTTTTCGCGTGGCTCTGAGTATTAGCATTTTGCTTTATACCTAGTGGTACATAAAGATACTACGAGATGGCGCTATACAATGTTTATATATTTTAATAATCTTTGAAATTCACGATACCGTACTAATTATATTATTATGACCATCATACTGTTATATTTGTGTGAATTGTTTTTAAATATTATTTAAATAAAAATATTACTTTACGTCTTGTTTCCATAATCGTATTTTTTTGATAAGGAATATGAATATTTTCGTTTAGGTATTTTAGATGATATGTTAATTTATTATAGGTAACTAATTACTCACTACGCTACCTGGAGCGTTGTGTAATGGCAGTCGCGGTTGCTGAGATATCGGTCGGTAACTGTATCGGTTAACTGTTGATAAACGACTGTAAGGATTGATTTTTTTTTCGGACTACTCTAATGCTGTTGGCCGCAGCTGGCCTTTACAGCTTCACTGGACGTTAGGGGGCGAGTACAGATGGCACTCCAAACCCGCGGAAGGACTTATGGAGAGGCTGAAGGCCAGCTCCTGCCTGACGGATACGACTTTAGTCTGAGGGCACCACTAGGGGTTCGAACCTCGGCTCAAGCCGTCGTAATATCGATCCCCGTTTGAATTGGACGGGAGATCGATCGGATAAGGGTTGAAAGGTCACGGGGGTTTTTATTGGGGTACAGAGTAGCACACCTCTCAGGTAGCATAGTGAGTAATTTGTCTCATACGCTCTAATTGTGTAAATGAACATGTTGGTACTTGCACAGATAATATAATATTACATAGTACTTGTTTTATTTAATGGTGTTGATATTTTTTTTAAAGCTTAGGTTTCAAGCTTTCAAATGACATATTCTTTTTATTTAAATATTGTATACTTTTATTTAGAACTAGCTGTACACGCGGCTTCGTCCGCGTGGAATTAAACTTTATTTTTCTAAAATAAAAGTAGCCTAAGTTACTCCTTATATCATTAGCTATCTGCCAAAACAAGGCCCGACAAAATCGGTCCAGCCATTTCAGAGATTAGCCGGAACAAACAGACCGACAGACAGACAGACAAAAATTTAAAAAAAATGTATTTTGGTGTAGATATGTACCATATTTATATTTATATGTATAGCTGTATAGATAATGTTTGAATGTAGAGGTAGCACTTGAGTCGATTTGGTTGCTCGCGAGTGTTTGCTTAGTTTATGTAGTAACACAGTTTCTTCACTCTTTTAGAGGGATGATGGTAGGGGTCTCGGGGTTAACATCGTTACCCTGGTTTCATCTCCGGAGTTACCTACCCCCCAATCAATGTGTTGATTGCAACTTGTTGACTAGTATTCGAGTATTGAGTCTTACTAATGTTATAAACGCGAAATTTTGTGAGTATGGATGGATGAATGGGTGGAAGTTCATTACTGTTTCTCGCAAGCACTACTGATTGGATTTTGATGAAATTTTACAATAATATGGTTTCTACTTAAAAATCATTGTATTATCATACAAATCGTTGTTTATCAATTGTCTTTATAATGTATCAGTCAGAATATTACTAAGAATGACGTATCCATCACTTCCGATATATTTGACTAACTAACTAACTACTTAGTCATTTGCAAAGAATAAAGTAAATATACTATAGGAAAAGAGTTCTTTACGTTGTATGGGAGTGGCGCTCTCTGATTGTACAAGGCACAACATTCGATACTTCAATGATTTTGGTATACTACTTTAAGCTTTACGCCATTACTGTAAGACTCAAAATTAACAAATTAGAATTGTATTGGTTGTTTTATTTTTCTTTTTTATTTTTCATAATGGATGCATCCGCCTGCACTAACGGTTTACGCTGGCGGGGCACCAGTGGATGATGATAAGATGAGCATAATGTCAGGCCTTTTAGTCCATCGTGATAAATTCATGGTGAATTTATTACATGGTACATTGCTAGCAATAGGATCATCTGTCCCCATTACTAACGATCCCTTCCCTCTGGTCACTACTACTATACGGAACAGCGTATAGCTCCCGCTGTTACTAGTCACCATCATTGCCTTGCCTTTATCCCTATATTTGTGGTCGGCGCAGTAGGTCCTCTTACACTGATCTCTATCTCTATAACACTGGCCGTCGTAACTGAACTTACTCTCCTTATGTACCTACTAACTGACCTCCGCAACTTCGGCTGCATCACACATATTGGACGTTTATCATTATATTTCGCCTAATTTACAATATCTTTTTTTTTTAATTATAGCATGTGTTACTCTGATGTATACATTATATCATTGTAAAGTTTCATGAAAAACTGTTCAGTAGTTTTTGCGTGAAACAGTAACAACCATCCATCCATCCATACTCAGAAACGCAATTTCGTCTACATCATACATACTTGACATTATATTTCGTCCAATTTACATTATCTTTTTAAATTATAGCCTGTGTTATTTTGATGTAAGTGTTCCGTATTCCGAACCTCCTTAGTCTAAGCAGGTTGTGTCACCGGCTTGCTTACTGGAGCAAAGGGCGCTCGGTAATACTGGCCACATATAAAAACATGTGGCCACTTAAATTTCAAAAAAAGAATAATAAAACAATTGAAAATAAGAACTGGAATTAAAAGGACGCTCCGTATTTTTATCTATATAAAACAAGATAATTAAGGAATTATTTAACACAATATAATTGTTTTTGATGAAAATATACACTCTAGAGTGCGTGGCCACTAAACAGTACTACACATCGGGACGTTCCTGAGCAAAGGTGAGTAAGTTTGGTGTTACATTGCTTACTTTGGGGTGTTCGGAGTGTGGAAGACGTTCTTCCAGGTCGAAATCGTATTTTTACTTCCTTTTCCATTAATTATTTTCTTTTCAATAAATACAGTCCACTCTCTCTTTTATATATTAATTTATAAGGATTCGTAATCCAACATTTTTTGGCCCAATCGAACCGGATGAAATACATCCTATTTGTTATAATATTCATTTATCCAGTAATTCGAATAATTATATATATTATATTATTTACATTTATTGTGTTTTTCCTACAATTATAACATCATATTTCATTCAATAATAGCTGAAATTAGTTGCAAGGACGCATATTATATTGGGCGATACTATTTTTTCATATAGGTAATTAATATCAATAAAACAAATGACGACCAATTCTGAAATGGATTCTAAACAAAAGATTTTAAATTTTCGAAAGGAATATTTGTATTCCAAATTACAAAAGGTTTATGATATGTCACAGTCCGTGACTAGAAGTAATTTTCAATTATATTTAGCTGAATTTTCGGATTTAGATAATGTTAGAACACGTTTTGAAGAGACAATTATGGAAATATTACAACTCGAAATTCAGTTAAATCCTGATACTAAATACTCTACTAGGGAATTGGATTCATTTGATACATTATACTCTGCCTGTAGATCAGTAGTAGTGAAATATCGAACGTTAGAGAGTACCTCAACGAATAAACATTGTGATCAGGTTAAGCCGTCTTTACCCAAACT